GTTTCTTTTTCCTCTTTGAGAAGGCAGAAAATGTTAAAAATAATAATAAAGCTGCTTTCATTTCACTATTTTTATGCTCGCCTCTATTTTCTTTCAATCTCTGCAACAGTACAACTATTTTCCTAAAAGTTTCAATACGCTTGTAAATGAATAACATGCAGTCATACACATTTTCACAGAAAAATTCCATACCAACCACAAGATTTTTCATAAAAACCATGACTGTCATTATGTTACTAATCAATAGTCTCCCGCCACTAAAAAAGCACATTTTCAAAAGTTTCTGTCTATGGACTCAACTTTTTAAAAAACACAGGTCAAGCATCCCTAATTGAAAAATCCAAAATCCAAATACTCCAAAATCTGAAACTTTTTGAGCACCCACATGACGCCACAACTGGAAAATTCCACATATAAGTACTTAACACAGACTTCAAGCACAAAAAGACTGCATAAAATTACCTTCAGGCTATGTGTATAAAGGTACATAGGAAACATACATAAATTCTAACAATACATTAGACTTGGGTTCCATCTTCAACCTATCTCATTAGATATACAAAAATATCCCAAAGTCCAGAAAAATCCAAAACACTTCTGTGGTCCCAAGTATTTTGGATAAGGGATGCTCAACCTGTAATAACAACAGGTTGCCATTAAATCACTAAAGTGATGTGCTTGGGGACAGAAGCCAGAGGCCCCAATAATCAACCTGTAATCAAGCCAACACCCGCAGCTTTTACTTCCTCAGCCCAAACACACATGCAACACACAATTTTGTTCTCCTGATTGTGGTGCTGCACATCATTCAATCTAACATTCTTACCCATCCTTCAGTGAAATTACATGCTGCCTTTTTCAGTAAAGGGGAAAAATCCAAGCAGCAATAGTAGGACACTTGGGAAAGTTCCCAGGGTGTAAAACTGCTTGGTGGATAAAACATATTGGTGATTCCATTCATCTTTACGGAGCAGCTAGTATGGGCCGAGCTCAGGACTTCAGAGTTTCCCTCTCATCATCCTGTTCAATACTTACATTAACCCTGCCAGGGAATATTCCACTTGAGATAATGGGGCTCTATAGGGTTGGTGTACCCAAGGTTAAATGACTTGTAAACCTAGGTCACCAAACCCGATCCAAAGCTCCCCTGCAGGCTGAGAGGAGGGCTATAAGGGAGGTGGAAGCAGACGGCAAAGGGGTTCCAGCACCTCCTCGCCCTCACTTTTGTCCTTCACTCTCTCCTTCCCCTTTTGGTCACTCAGCAACATTTATTTAGACTGAAATGCTAAGAAATTATCCATACAAACCTCAGTTGCTCAGGTCATCCTCCTAGAACTACTTGTCACCCTGACTCTTAGCTAAACGTCACAGTCCTTCCTACTGCACGAAGTCCCAGGGTCTTGCCCTGGCATTCAGTCCTCCTCAGTTTGATCCTGACCCCCTGGGCTGAATGCCTGAATTGCCTTTGTCCATGCTGCCTTCCTGGAATGCCCTCCCTTTCACTGCTCAGAATCGTAGCAGACATTCTGCAGATTCACACACCTAGACCCCAACTGCAGACCTACAGATCCAGAGCCCATCTACCCCTGCAGGCAGGTGCCTTACCCAGTTAGCAAGCACTGCCTATATCAAGGTCAGCCTTCCCACCAACCAAGCCCAGTTCAAATCCTAGTGACTAAATGAGACTCCCACGCACACCCCATAATGATAGCACCCACCTCCAAAATTCAGAAGCGATTACTGACTGTATCACACTGGTGCCAATAATGCTACCACCTACTGTTATTTACACTGCTATATATTCTTCCTGTCTCCTAGATTATACTTTTTTTTGAAAAGTGCACGAATTCAATCTTATATTTTTTTCATACAGCATGACTTTTTATACACAGCAGCCCTTCAACCAACCCCACACTTAGCGCTGCAGCTCAGCACCGTAATCACGGGTATCAGGTCGCAAGCACAGAAGAACAGATGCAGACACAGTCCATCCTCCCATCCTACACCCCCATGAGAATGGTCCATGTAACGTGGTTCCCAATGTCTAGCACCGCACTGTCCTCAGCAAGGCTCCTAATGCAGATGGGTGGATGAGGATGAAGAGCTATTCCCACTCATCAGTGATCACAATCACAAAAACATCTTTCATGAAAGGAAAAAAGAAATGTCACACATGACTAAGTGTAAGCCTTCAAATATCTACTCACTGAGGACATGTCTAGTATTAAATCATGACATTTCACTATCCAGAAAAATTGATTTGTGTAACCTGAAGAGAAAACAGCCCAGATGCAATGCCAGAAAATTAGCCCCACCACACCAGAAAATGTTTACTGCAGAGAAAGCCTTGGTGATTTGAGAGTTGGGATCTTTCTCTTTTCCTATTTTTGGCTTGGTTGGTTATTATACAAAGCCATAAACATGATCTGCCCACATTTTTCCCCACCAGATGGGAGTTCATCACACCACATGTCACCTAGCAACCTAAACACCACTCCACAACTATCCAGCCACCCAATTCTTCATACAGAATTTCTCTTGTTCTATTAGGCAATACCGGTAAGGAACAGAGAATAAAAGTTAAAACAGTGTTAAATACATATCACTTCCTCATCACTTAATATAGAATGGGAAAAGTAGTAAGAAAGACTGAAAATTAATCTCAATCATTGTCTAGCAATTTCAGAATAAAAACGAGAAAAAGGAGACCTAGAAGACACTCAAGCTCTGGCAACATGAGGGTCAACAGTCTTGGGATCCAATGATTGAACGTGGTATACTGCAAAGCCCCCGTTAAAATTCACCTACTGAACTCTAAGTTGTACTTAAAGAGCATGTAAGTGTTGGAACCCCTGACCCATCTCTGACCCTCCCTCTCATCTCCAACTCCCATGTCACTATCACCCTCCCTTCCTTCAGCTCACAGGCCCCCTTTTCTCTTTGTGACACCTTTCCAGACACCCGTAAGAAAACTGCACTCCCTTTTCTATGCCCTGTGAAACAACCGCTGCTAATTGTTAATAACAAGGACCAAGTCTGTGACCAAGGCCCTGCGCTTTAGCCACCCAGCATCCCAGAGGCCCCTCTTCTCCCCATGTCACCACCAGCCCCTTCACCTGAAGGACTGCGCAGCCTCTTGCTCAGCCTCTCACAGCCAGTGGGTCCCCTAGATGTCCAGCACCCAGAACAGTGCTGTGGACACAGTCAAAGCTTCAAAATTTCTGTGGAATGAACGCCTCAAACAACATTTGAACTACTGTCAAATAGGCAGTTCAACCTATGTCTGTTTTGTGCACGATGAAACATGGGACACAGTAGGTAAAACAATTTTAATCACATAAAATTAATAAAGTGAAAGAAAATGTCGATCACTCTCTCCCTATTCAGGAGCCTAGACATACTGCAGAGTGCATATTACTTTATTTCTCTTTCCTTGCACAAAGTATTTTGTTGGTTTCCAGAGTGCCTGAACAATTTGAGTACTCTTTCGGAACACTTAAAGCATAAACTGTCACACATAAACAACACTTAAAAAAGGTAAATGCCCATTGAGATGGTTTTCTTTCCCTTTGTCAGCTTTGCAAGATAAACAGGTGCCCAATTCCCACTAATTTTATTTGATTTTCAATAAAAGAGTTCAACCAACTGTAAGGAACATAACAGAGCTATTAAAGCCAATGTCTTCCATCCTTGTGCCGGGTTCCTAAACGTCCCCCAAAATTATCTTTAAAAGCCCAAATTTATGCTATTTTTTTCCAGTGTATACTAAAAGCAAAACAGCAGTCTAAAAAGCTTTTTATTTTTAATTTCTGAGAGAACTGAAGATGCCACCGGAGTACCCTGTGTACGCTAAATAGGGCTGACCAAGCCACTTTCCAACGTCATCTGCAGCCCCCAAGCCCACAGGGGCCAGGCCACTGTCGGGAACAAATGGGAAATACTGCACCGAAGTGAATGCACTCCCCACCAAAGAGGACTCTACTACAAAGGAAATATCCCCGGGTGCTTGGGAGAAACTTCAGCGTGGGCTGTTGTCAAACACAGACACAGTCGGTAAAACAATTTAACAAAATGCTTTTTCACTTCTGACACATAGTAGAGGAATGCTGTGAAGTAGAGACAATGTTATCACTACAGCAAGAAAAAGGGAAATCCACTCAACTCTGAAGTCAGGCCCGGCTCCGCAGCCCAGCCACATGGAAGCAGCCCAGGATAGGTAGGAGCTGAGGTCCTCGCAGGAAAACTTTTCTTTCCGCGACCATTTCAAGGTTGTGCTTTCCAGAGCCCAGCAAGGGGGATCAGCTCAGTAAATGCCCGCAAGCGAGTGCTGAGTGCCAGCGGTGGCCCTCCCGGGAACGCCTCCCCGATCCCAAGCCGGCTACTCCCCAAACCCTGCAGCCCCCGGACGCGCGCCCCGGCCCGCCCCTGCCCGCGAGGGAAGTGGAGGAAAAGACCCCCCGCCGCGGTCCCGCCCCCGCCCGAGGAAGGGAGAGGAGACAGAAGGCTCGCAGCCCTCCTCCGTCGGGAGGGCAGTCACGAAACTCTCCTCACACCAAAAGTTCCCAGTCCCCGGCCTGTGCCCGCGGGGCCTGGGAGCCGGGAGAGGCCTAGGGCTGGATTTCCCGGTCCGCGCCCCTGCGCGCCGGCTCGGGGCTTGGCTGGCTCTACAGACTCCGGGGAAGCGCCCAGGACCAGCCTGTGCGCCGCTGCCCGGCTCGCCCCGCGCTCCTGAGGCCGGAGCTCCCGGGGAGGGGGGGATGGGGAAGGGGAGGGCGGGGGCCGCGGGACCCGGCTGGGTGCCCCCGAGGCTGCGCCCCGGTCAGCGCTGAGAACTTTGGCGCCCGCAGCCCGGGGCGGGGGGCGCCCGCGAGGCCGGCCCGGCCGCACTTTCCCTTTCTCCGCCTCCCTGCGCCTCTCCTCCCCCTTCCAGGAAGCGCCATATTGATCCCGGCGCCGTCCCCGCCGCCGCCCCCTCCCCGCCCGCGCCCCCGGCCCCTCACCTTGGCGATGGCCTTCCGGTAGCGGGTCACCGCCTGCTGGATGAGGCTGAAAACTTTCATGTGGCCGTCCCCGCACGGCACGACCACCCGGGTCCGTCCGAAGCACACGGTCACTTTCATGCCGCCGCCGCCGCGGGCGGGCCCGCGCCCCTCGCCGAGCGCAGCCGGAGCAGCCGGGGCCGGGGCCGGGGCCGGGACCAGGGACGCTGGGCGCGGAGGAGCCGCGGGGGACTCGGACGCGCGGGCGGCTAGGGGCGAGGGCAGGCGGCGGCGACGCCGGGGGGCCGCTCAGCTCGCATGCCCGGTCCGGCCCGGCCACCCTCGCCTCGCCCGGGGCTCGCCTCGCCTCTCCCCGCCGCGGCGCCCGCAGCCTCCGGCCACCTGTTCGGCGTCTCGGCGCGCTCGCCGGCTGCGGCCCGGGGCTGTGTGGCGCTGGCGCTCGCTCCGGGCCGCTGGGGGAGGGGACGGCGCGAGGGGAGGGGAGGGGGAGGAGCAGGGCCGGGCACACAACACCGCGCACATGCGGCAGGGGGAGGCGCGGCCGGCTACCCGCGCGGGGCGGAGCGCAAGACCGCAGCCCGCGCCCCCGCCACCGCCCTCCCGGGCCGGCCTCCCTCCGTCCCTCCCTCCCTCCCTCCGGAGGCTCGGGACCCCTGGTCCTACCGCCAACCCGGGCAGGCGGCCATCTGCCCCCACCAACCGTGGGCCAGGCGCCCCCCAGCCCCCTTCACCCCGCCCGCCCAGCACCCTGCAGGGCTGCGCTCGCCCCTCCTCGGGGACGCCCCTTCCACGCCTCCAGAGGTCTCCACGGAGCCCCCCCCTTCCCTTTCCTTTGTCACTTTTAATCCCCTTCCTTGGACTGGAGGGTTTCGGGTGCAGGCGCTCCCGGGGAAGGCAGTTTTTGCTCAGCACGGCGAGTCCCCTCCTCATCGCCCCGGAGGCTCCAGCCCGAGCCTCTCTGCCCTCGGGGACTCGAGCCTGCGGCTTGCTCCGCTGGGTTTCTGCCCTGCCCGCTCCCTAGCTCGGCTGCAGGGTCGGGCAGCGGCAATTCTGCCTGAAACGCAAGAATTAATAGTCTGCTCTAGGGAGGCAGTGGGGAAGCTGTGAGCGACCGGGCGTTTTACAGAGGTCACTGTTTACCTTGAAGTTTCCCGTTGACCCTCCGCGGACCCACCCACTTAAATAGATTATACCTTAAACATCGCAATTCTGATACATTTATTTCTTTCAAGTTCTGCAGCATAAGCAATCCTAACGCGAATCCGTGAACAGCCTATTCTGACGCCGCGGAGAAATCTCACGCGGGAATCCCCACGGTGTGCCCGCGCTTAACGCAGACGCCTGAACCCCGAGGAAGGCTCCGACTCCGCAATGAGTGACATGCGGGCTTGAGAAGTTCTGAAGGAACGTGATCCGAGTTAGGGAACGTAACTGAAGCTCATTTTGTCTTAGTTATGGACTATGATTCCTTAATAAACGTATGTCATTGTGTTTAAAGAACGACAAATGTCAGCAAAGAGTGGTCCCTGTCCCAAGCCCGTTCCAGATTATGTGAAATTCTTTTTTGCCAGTTATTTCCAAGGGACGTGAAAGCAATCAAGCTGCCCTGGGTTGGCGCAGAACTTGAGCACTTAGAGCTGGAAGAGCTGGCGATTGACCATCCATCCCACTCCACCTCCAATCTTAAAACAAGGAAACAAGACACGAGGTTCGTCCGCTTGCCACACTCCCTGCGCTTTGCAGCACCACAGCTGCCCCAGCATAGTGCAGTTTCTCCTAGGAAACATTGCCCTTCCTCTCCTCTCCCAGCCCTGGACCACCACTTTCCACCACCTGTCCCAGCAAATCAGTGCAGTGGTGCTAGCCCCATCTTACTCCAGGACATTGACCAAGGGGCAAAGTCACTTGCCCAAGGCGGCAGAGAAAGCTCAAGGCAGACCCAGAAATAGTCTAGGTTTCCCTCCTTCCACTCAGTCATGGGAAAGGCTCCTCCTACTGCTGTTTGGCTGCAGCACTAGACATTTCTACCCACTAATTAAGTTTCTGACAACGATGACAACAACTGTTGCTGTGGGCTTTTTGCTTCTTACATAGATACTTGGATCCACAACAACAATTACTGATAATTATAGGTGTTGTTTCTGTTTTTATGCATTGGAGGAGTATACTACTAGTTTAGAATGTGTACTAGTTTATTTTATTTTGTTTTGTTTTAATTTATTTATGTATTTTTATTTTATTTATTTATTTTGAGACCAAGTCTCGCTCTGTTGCCCAGGCTGGGAGTCTGAGGCAGCAGTGAGCTAAGATTGTGGCAGTGATCTTGGCTCACTGCAACCTCCGCCTTCTGGGTTCAAACGGTTCTCCTGTCTCCGCCTCCCAAGTAACTGGGATTATAGGTGCCCTCCACCACGCGCAGCTAATTTTTGTATTTTCAGTAGAGACAAATTCTCACCGTGCTGGCCAGGCTGGTAGATCCGCCCACCTCAGCCTCCCAAAGTGCTGAGATTACAGCGCAAGCCACTGCGTGGCAGAGAGTGTATACTAGTTTACATGCTATACTAGTTCAGAGGGGTATACTAGCTTGAGTATAATAAATTAGAGTGGGGCTTTCTCAAAATAATTCTAATCGAAAGTCATTTTTCAGTAATAACCAGAGTACATAGGACATCATACAGATCTAGATTCAGATCCATATTCGGCCATTTACTAGTGCCTTAGACACAACTCTCACTCTTCCTCCAGCCTGTCTTATTAGCTGAAAAGTAGAGAAGTAGAGCTTATTATATCCATATCCATCTCATAGATCTCATAGATTATGAGTCAGTCTTTCTTTCTTTTTTTCTTTTTTTCTTTTTTTCTTTTTTTTTTTTTTTTTTTTTTTTTGAGATACAGTCTTACTCTGTTGTCCGGGCTGAAGGGCAGTGGCACAATCTTAGCTCACTGCTGCCTCAGACTCCCAGGCTCAAGCAATCCTTCCTCAGCCTGGAGAGCAGCTAAGACTACAGACAAATACCACTATGCCCAGCTAATTATTAAATTGTTTGTAGAGATAAGGGCTCACTATGTGGCCCAGGCTGGTCTTGAACTCCTGTCCTCAAGCGATTCTTCTGCTTCAGCCTGCCATAGTGCTGGGATTACAGGTGTGAGCTACAGCACCCAGTCAAGTTATGAACATTAAATAAAATAATGTGTCTGGAAACAGTACGGCCAGGCACAGTGGCTCACGCCTGTAATCCCAGCACTTTGGGAGGCCGAGGTGGGCAGATCACCTGAGGTCGGGAGTTTAAGACCAGCCTAACCAACATGGAGAAACTCCATCTCTACTAAAAATACAAAATTAGCCAGGCATGGTGGCACATGCCTGTAATCCCAGCCACTCGGGAGGCTGAGGCAGGAGAATCACTTGAACCCGGGAGGTGGAGGTTGTAGTGAGCGACATGGCACCATTGCACTTCAGCCTGGGCAACAAGAGCAAAACTCCGTCACAAAAGAAAATAAAAAAAACAAAACAGTACATGCTGCCACACTGCCACATGGGAATGTATAGCATAGTACGGTGCAGTTACCGTAAAGAAGGCAGAGGGTAACAAAGTCCAGGACAGGATAGCAAATGATGACAGTGGAGGAAGCAGGAGAGATAAGGGGGAGAGGAGAAGACCAAGGCTCAAAGAAATGACTAGCCAGGTAATACAACTTTCCAGTGACTGGGCCAGGACTACAACCAAAAACTCCAGCTCTGACTCTCAGGCCTGCACTCAATTCACTTAAATTGGATTCCACATTCAGTTAGTAAAGACCTTCCTTGCAGGAAGCACTGGCTAAATATTACAGAATTATAAAGGTGAGTAAAAGAAGGACAATCTAGAGGTCAGAATAAGATAGCTATTCCAATAACTATAATTCAAGACATTAAATATTCAGTGCCAGCAAAGCGTTAATGGCAGTACTAGAGTGGGGGGAAGCTTTCATAACAGAGATGACATCAGGACATGTGGGTACCGTTTTATGTACATCAATTCCTTTAACTATTCAATACTTAATAAGGGTATAGATGGTTTTTTAAAAATATGATCCAGAGAATCAATAACACTGATTCCACCAACCAGATAAAGCCTTAGAGCTGTATTTAAATCTACCTAGTTTATCTAGATGCAGTGATTTCCTTTATATTAATAATTGACGAAAAACTAGTACTGTATAGTTCTAGATGCCAGAGCCTTTGGTGTCTTGAGTCAAAATTCATGAAAATTTTTTTTAATTCATAAAATTTCATGACACATTGGGAATACATATCCAAGTCCTCACCTACCCAAATAGAGCCCCCTTCAAAATATTCCAGAGTTGCCCTCAACCAGTCCATCAGCAACCATCACCAAAGTATCCACTGCCTTTTTTTTTTTTTTTTTTTTTGAAACAGAGTCTCGCTCTGCTGCCCAGGCTGGAGTGCAGTGGCCAGATCTCAGCTCACTGCAAGCTCCACCTCCTGGGTTTACGCCATTCTCCTGCCTCAGCCTCCCGAGTAGCTGGGACTACAGGCGCCCGCCACCTAGCCCAGCTAGCTTTTTGTATTTTTTAGTAGAGATGGGGTTTCACTGTGTTAGCCAGGATGGTCTCGATCTCCTGACCTCGTGATCCGCCCGCCTCCCAAAGTGCTGGGATTACAGGCTTGAGCCACCGCGCCCAGCTCCACTGCCTTTTTTTTTTTTTTTTTTTTTTTTTTTTTTTTTTTTTTTTTTTTGAGATGGAGTCTCACTGTTGCCCAGGGTGGAGTACAGTAGCACAATCTCAGCTCACTGCAACCTCTGCCTTCCAGGTTTAAGGGATTCTCTCGCCTCAGCCTCCCAAGTAACTGGGATTACAGGCGTGCACCACCACGCCTAGCTAATTTTTGTCCTTTTAGTAGAGACAGGGTCTCACCATGTTGGCCAAGCTGGTCTCAAACTCCTGACCTCAAATGATCCACCCACCTCGGCCTCCCAAAGTGCTGGGATTACAGGTGTGAGCCACCATCCCTGGCCCTTCTCTGCATTTTCATTCTCCTGTTCCGGTTCCCAGACACTGCTGGAAGGTATGTCAGCACTGCCCTGCTCAGACAGCCCACCTTGCAAAACTTGAGTCCCAGCTGAGATCACCACTTCTAGAAGCCCTGGTGTCACCCAGCCTCACAATGCTGGAAAAGGCCCAGGTTCCCTGCAGAAAGCAAGCACCCATGTTTGCCATGACCCACTGCTCACAGCCCAAGTCCCCGGTCAAATATCTCCCTCCTTTCCAGGTCCCAGAGCTGAAGAATGAGGGAGCTGCTTGGTGAAGTCCATGAAAGTTGGCAGAACAAGGTGTAGGCTAGCAGAGCTGGTGATGTTAACATTCAACTCTGTTAAAGACAAATCTGCAGCAAAGTGGAATAAAACCACCTAAGCCACTCACTTTCTGGAGGTCCAGCTTGACTG